GAGTGCGTGCATGCCCAAAATCCTGAGAATGTAGGAGAAAGGACTGTGGTGTAGCCATCTCCTCCAGGGCGTGATTTCTTGCTTTCTGTCTCTCTGTCTCTCCAACACACACACACACTCTACAGCAAAAAGTCTCTCTTAAAAAAAAATTTAGTTCTCGGGAACCAGCAGTTAGCATAATGGCTATGTTACTGGACTCCCACATAGTCAACCGCGGTTCCCGTCCCAGACCCGGTGGCTTAAAACTCACTCTGGGCACGTGTGCGTGTGTGCCCAAGATCCCGAGAGGAGAATGGAGGAGAAGGGACTGTGGCGTGACCATCCCCCCTGGTGGGTGATTTCTCGCTTTCTGTCTTTCTCTGTCTGGCGAGCGCACGTGCCCTATAGTGAAAACCTCTCCAAAAAAAAAAAAAGATTTTAGTTCTGCAGAATCTTTAAAACATTAGAACATTGAGAAAATAAAATAAAAATAGAAAATAAAAATATTATAGTCTATGGCCTTTAAGCTTTGGAAATATCCTCATGCTATCTTCTAGAAGTAGATTCATGTTCGTGACTAATATTCCTTAATATAATATTCATGAAACCAATTTAGTGTATTGTTAGAACTATATACAATATAAGAAAAGCATTTTACTATTTGGGAAAAAAATGAAACTGTGTTTACTTATAGAAATGGATTAAACAAACATTATCAAAACATTATCAATCAATACTTCAAACTTGCAGGTCAAATTTTCTGGAAATGTATTTTTTGATTAAAAAATGTAATTCATATCACTTTGGCTGCCAGATAAATATTTCACAAATAGTTTTTCAAAATAGTTTATGAACCTCAACTAAAAATGAATCCCATGCTACAAGTTGTTGCAGAATGGATGTACCAAGAGATGTAACCCATGAGTATTTGTCCCTGACACTAAATAGATATTTAACTCGCTCAATGTAAGTTCCCAGACAGATCCTCAGTCATTAGCACATGTTTAACGCCCTTTGAAATACAGTTATCCTAAAAAGTAATGACTTCTTATGTGTCAAAATAAAATAATCTTGATACAGTCCTGGAATATTCCTGAGGTAAATACAAACAAGGAAGATTTATAAAAATTAAAATATTAAATATTCATTGCTCAGCAAAAGTCACATTTTTCCCTTTGAGTAGAAGGTCAAGGAAAAACATCAAAAGAATACCCTGGGTCTTCACTGTGTCACAGACCCCAAATTCTGTCTCTTGAGATAAGACTATAGGATGACAAAGATCTAAAACAAACTCTCTGGGTAGTTGAACCTTCTGTAATAAATGGATCCTATGCTACAAGTTATTGTATGTATTCCAAGTGATAGTATAATTACTCTGACTGTACAAACACCTTTTAATACACTTAACAGTATGTCAAGTATTCCAATAAAGGTCTTTTCTTTCCTTTTTTTTTTTTTTTCTTTAGTTTTGCTATAGGCTGCATGCACTTGCCAGAGAGACAGAGAGAAGGTGAGAAAGAAAGTAAGAAATCACCCTCCAGGAAAAATGGCCACACCACAATCCTTTCTCCCCCACTCTTCTCTCAGGATTTTGGGCATGTACACACATGTTCCTGGCATGAGTTTCTAGTCTCTGGGTCCAGAATTTGAACTGCAGTCGGCCATATGGGAGTCCAGTGCCTTAACCACTACTCCACCTGCTGGCCCCTACAGGTCTTTCTGATATTCCCCCCAAATACACCAGGTTTCTTTTTCCCTTTTTGCTTCTAACTGTACTACCCATCCTACATAACATTCTTCCCAAGGGTCTCTATTCCAACTCCAGTGCTACACTGCCAATGATAAAATTTTCCTAGTCAAGTAAGCATCTGTCCTTTTCAAAATTTCCCTAATATTTGCTTAATCTTCTGTCTTTCTAGTACATGATCATATATTATCTTGAAATGTCTTTAAACTTTTTCTTTTAATTTTAATAATGCTTATTCAAGACAAGCTTTGTGCCAAGCACTTTGCTAAACACATTAAGCCTTTAAAGCAAAACCATGAATCAGAGTCTACCACTACTCCCATCTTACAGATGAGTAGACAGACTGAATAGCACGTAAGAGCCCAAGGCTCCTACGCAGTAGAACCTGCACTGACATCTAAAGCTTTCTCTGAAGATCTTGTTCTTTGCCACTGAGAAATATGACCTCATGCAAATGCAAGTTCTCAACTAGACAGTAAGCTGGGGTCAAACAGAGTATCTTTTACTTCTTTCTAGGTTTTTCAAATACCTCATAAAGGCTAGTGTAAGATTGAGTAGGTATTAGAACCTTGGGAGGAGGGAGGCACAGAGTAGGTATCCAGAATATTTTTGACAGGGGTCTTTAAAATGCTCTTTGGGTCTTTATTTGTATCATGCATCTTCAAAAGTCCAGGCAACTAAGGGCAGAAATCTCTAGAAATGAAATTCTTCAGAGGAAGTCCATATTTATCTGCAAACTGAGAACAGTCAGGATGGCAAGGGACTTTTTTTTTAAGACACTAGTTTCTCTTTCAGTTTTTATTTATTAATGCCTCGAGTACCTCTTAAAATTTTGCTCTAAGCAAAATGCTTTATTTTCTAGTTCTTTAATAACCCTATTTTTATTTCATTAAGTGGACACATGTTTACAAATACAGGAGACAAACAGTACCTTTCTTTCCACAGTGAGCACAGTATTAAAAACTGGGGCATACACCCACATCACTCCACGTAGCAAAACTGCAAGAAAGAACATGAACAAGACTGACCGAGGGTCTGCCTCCTGCCCACACTCAAATCTGTGAAGGCCCACAAAGACAGTCGTAAAGATACAGGCAAGGATAAAGTCATTTGAAAGTAAATCGGGACAAAACTAACTTATTATGCTCCTATGTAATTACCAGGGAAGTTTTTCACTTGCTTCGTGGCATTCCAGGGAAGGGAAACAGACGGCAAAAAATACAACTATCTACCAGTTCACTATTCAGTAATGTAGTTGTTCATATGCATGCAGAGTGGACCACAATTTTTTATCAGGATGCTGGTGACACTGACAATTCCAACAAACCTCTGCTTCAGAGCTGAAGTGTCAGCCAAGCCATTAACGGAATTGCATTCCTACCACTGGGAGTTGGGGGGGGCCTGGGTTCTTGGTTCCTAATATTACACACTTCCTCAACACTGATTCAGATGATTAACTGTATCGGCTCTTCATCGAATGAGCACTCACTCACTTGGGAAGGCATTTCTGCTCACCTCGACTCCTGCTTTACATTTTCATAAAATGAAAAGCACATAGTGCTCTACTGTCATATAATAATTTAAATGAGAAAAATCAATAATTTGCCACACCGCATAGTTTCTTACTGGCAACTTCAATGAATTTGCCATTAATTTTAGTCCTTCCACACACACAACTTAAACACGAAGCACAGCTATTCTAGAGAGCTTAAGTTTTTGGTTTTACTTCGTCTTTTCCTAAGGAGACTAAGTAGGACAAAGTATAGGTTTCTAAATATTCATTTTTTGACTTATACTTACACTGTTGGACACTTCTGAGATGAATATACTAAACAGGCCTGCTGTCCCACCATGTATAAATAAACTTTCCAGCAGCAACACTTGCAAAAAGAATTACCAAATTACTATTAATAGACATACATAGTATAAGAGGTTACAACGCAAGATTAAAGAAAGCAAAGTAAATGTAGCCTTTTGTGAAATAAGTGATTCAAAACCAGCTGAAATGTTATATCATTAACAACAGTCCCAGAACAAATTCGACTTTTCCATTGGTATAAACCACAAAATCATACAGTATGTTTCTTTTCAAGAATCTTTGGGATTCCTAAAAGGTGGATGAGAAGGAGAAGGGTATCTATTAAAGGCTAGGATACAGTGAATGCTATCAAAACGGCATATTTACAAGCCTGTGCAGTATAGCCTCATTTCTCCAAAAGCTGTCTAACCATTACCCTCCCTTAGAAGTCAACCCATGATGAAAAAAGTACATCTCTTGCATCCTTCTGCTCCTGATTTTCCCAAACCAATCTACCTTGGTGTTTTGCATGCTGAACAAAACATTGCATACATAATACTATCGTGCACAAGCATTAAAGTTTAGAGTTTTTGCCTTTGAAGTAGGTAGGGCCAGGACCAAGGACACAGGGGTTCAATTCCAAGCCAAATATTAGGCGGGTGGTTTGAAAATGTCAATCCGAAGAGGCCTAGGGGGACAGGATGCAAGCTCTCACTCCAACACCCATGCTCTACCCTCCCTCTTTCTCTCTTGTTCTCTTCCTCTTTTCTCCTCTTTGCTTGTGGTTTCTCACGGAGACAATCAAAGCAGAGAAAGCTGGATTTTAAATCAGCAAGACAGACTCGGGAATATGAATTCCCAGGAGGAAAACAGAAACTGCTGAAAAGGGGTGTGGGGGGCTGCAGGCAACACGTCCAAGTGACAGTCCTCCCCACCCCCACCCTCACACAGCACACATCCATACATTCTTCCTGGATGCTCTCCTCCTTCCAGGTCTCAGTACCCTAGCCAACTTGACCCTTAATCCTAATCATTGAGGAAGCTGCGGGGCATCCGCTGGGCAAGTGTGTCTCAGTGTATGTGCCCAATATTCCGGAAGCCCCTGAATCCGGACAGTTGTAGCAGGCGAGGGATGCTTCCACCCTCCCACAAGAAAAGGGGTGAAGAAAGAGGGGAGAAAAAGATATGGAGACAAGAGGGAAGGAATGCAGAGCTGAGCTTTAGGGCGAGCACTGAAAGGCAGACAGGGAAGAAAGAAAGGGTGGGAAGGAAGTGAGGCTGGGAGAGAGGAAGAAAGGGATTGAAAGAAAGGCTGAAAGGGAGAAAGGAGGGGAAAGGAGAGAGGGATGTTGGGAAGGATGAGGGCGGGAGGGTCGGGGCTGGGGAGCGGGGAGGGAGGGGAGGATGGAGAGGATGGGAGGGAGGCAGGGAGGGAGGGAGGCAGCCAGGATGGAGGATGCTCTGCCCGGGACTCACCTCTGTGGGTCGGTGGGAGTTTCTCGCCTTCTCCGCTCTCTCGCCGGTCCCCAGCAGCTGGAGCGGGAATCACAGAA